CCCCAAAACCCCAAAACCCCAAAACCCCATAGATCAAGCGGCAAATGATTTTGAGAGATACAAAATTGATAATTGATAAATTTTTAAATCAATAACAGACTTAAATTCTGAGATAATCCTCTTTATAAGCCACTCTTACTATTTTTTTTACTAACAGCTACATCTATGAATCTACTCTCCTGAGAATCTAAATTGATCTCCAGGTATTCATAGTCAATTTCCCCTCATTAAGTTAGTGTCATCACGAAATTATATTTGATAAAAGCATATTAATGGTTATGACTTGATTTTCAAAGTTAAACTCTATTTAGAAATTTGTCTAAAATTTCTACTACTAATATTCTTTGCTGGAGCTATTGATAATTTAAATTTCTATGTAATAATATTATCATTAGGGAGAATTAGGGGAAGGGTAATACGGAGTTGTATTTAAGGTCTAAGGCATGCAAGACAATAAGAATTATGCTTGCAAGAAAATTTCAAAGTAGTATGTCATCAGTAGAGGTTGCAAAGAAGATCTCGATCATGAAATAAATAACTTGAAGAGGGCTGACCATCCCAATATTATAAAACTCACAGATTATACCCAAACTGAAAGTAACTATTATATATTCACAGAGTATTGCAATGGAGGGAATCTATACTAGCTGGTTCATAGCTAAGGTTATCTCAGTGAAGCATTGGCAAGATTTATTATTTTAAAGGTGATTGATGGTATTAAATATCTCCATTCTTAGAATGTGATCCATCGAGATATAAAATCAGACAACATCCTTCTACATTTTCCTTAACTAAATGAGCATGAATTGCTTCAATAGGGAAAATCAGAGGAATATATTCAGGAACTAATAACTTTTTACTTAAGATCATTCTAATTTTAAGTAAAGATCGCTGATCTTGGATTTTCAAAGGAATTAAATGATGCCTCAGAAGAGATGCAATCAATTGCTGGAACTCCGATAAATATGGCTCCAGAAATCATGAACAGGCGCTCCTACACTATGAAGGCTGACATATGGAGCATTGGGGTATTACTGTATAATTTAATGACAGGTTCATTCCCATTTTTGTCTCGTGAACCTGAAGATCTCATTCAAAAAGTTGAAACAGGCATTTTTAGAATTAGAAGGGATACCAACATAACTCCAATATGTTTAGATTTAATAAACCGCTGTTTGAGATATGACCCAGAAAAACGTATCAATTGGGAGGATGTAGAGAAACACCCCTATTACTGCGATCCATATTACTATAAATAATTACAGCAATTGTCAATCTCTCAAGAAATAGACGAAAGTCTTTGTAATATTAGATCAAACCGTCAATTACAATAGTAAAATCAAGACCATCACGAGGAATTTAAGTAAGGGGAATATAAGAACGATTACCATAGTGAGATTTGCATGAACTGCAAGGATTCTTTCGTTATGTGGATACATTAATCAGGATATTTAAACGGAGATTAGAGGGCTTAATAACAGGAGATTAAACTCAGAAGACAGGGTTATATCTTCGAAAGTTCGAAATATAATCAGGATTTAATAGACTCAGAGGCCAAAATACTCAATTTAAGACAAATTGATGAAGAAATTGTACATTAAATTTTAAGGGAGTCCAATAACTTAGAATGCGATCTAGAAGATATATAAGAAGGAAAAATAAATTAGAGCAAATTTAAAGATCCACTGAGTAATTATCGAATAATGAAAGAAAAGGGGAAAGTGAAGAAAGAGAATGAAGTGCATAGGTAGTATCAACAAGAACATGATCCTGATGTTTTGATGATGAAACTTAAATCATCATCTTAGAGCAGAATGCGTTAAGAATCTTAGGCCAATTCATTGTACGCTAGAACCAAAAATTCAACAAATGTAGTACCTGTTTCTTCTGCAACTGGCACTATAATGATTTAGGGTACTTTCTTCAACTCTAGGCCTGCTTTTCCTCTAAATAATATCAAAGATACTTAGGAAATAAAAAATTTCACAGATAGTACAGCTTAATAACATAATTAATAATGGAAGGCATCCTCCATTGCTCTTAGACCAGAACTTCTGAATTAGAGCTAATTAATTGACGATAACATGATCAAGGAGCAAAGCATCATTAAGAAGGAAGAACTTAAGGAAACTGAATACAAAATTTCGCATGCGTTAATAAGATAGGAAGTAAATATCACCACGTAATTAATGAAAAAGGAATCAGGATTGAAATTGCAAATCCAGAAATATAAATATGATAATCTTGACGCAATTCATGAGGATAGAGATGAGGAAGGCAAAGAGTCAAATCGCAAAGAAGATAAGAGATTGCAAAGTCCGTTTTTTATAAAGTATTAAGGAAGATAGTGAGCTATTTAAAAATTGAGTCCTCATATTTTTTAATTTATTTGTCAAGAAAGTACAGTGATTAAAATGCATAACTTAACTTTCATATAATTTTTAGTAGTGGTTTACATTTAATATATGTCATTATTCTGATTTCAGCTCAAGCTAAAACGATGGGGTTTTGGGGTTTTGGGG